GCTGCTACTACTGCCACTGCCACTGCAGCAGTAATTGCGCTACTGGCAATGTAACAGCAGTAGCAATGGTGATTGACAATCGTCATAGTACGAGTAATCGTATTGGTCATAAAGTCAGAGTCTTAGCATGTCTTAGCCGTTGTGATAGTAGTAGGAACAGCCATAGGAATAGCGATAGCAACAGTGCTAGCCATGATACTCGTCATAGCCACGGCAGTAGTAACAGTAAAAGCAAAAGCCATTGCAATTGCATTGTTGGTTGTTATGGTTAGAGTACCAACATCAGAACTAGTACTCTCGTAGTAGTACTCATGCGAGTACCCGTAATCGTAACTGTGATAGTCACAGTGATAGCAATGGATATAGGCAATGGCAAATAGCAGTAGTTATAGCAATTCGTATCAGTACTACTAGTAACCGCCAAGGCGATAATAATCGCTGTAGTCACAGTTGTGGCAGTAGTAGTAGTAGTAGCAGCAGCAGCAGCAGGAGCAGCAGGAGCAGCAGTAGATTCATGCACCTAGAATCAGCTGCCAACGCTCCATCTGCAGCTGGCGTTGTATATGCCGTTTAGTGGTTTGAGTTTGGGGCACTGCCTGCTAGGTTGAGTCGCACAAAATATTCAGACCTCATCCAAAGCATGATGATCCCGTGTCGGATACAGGAATATAACTTATGTGCGAGATGTCGGCAGGTTTTCTCCGGCACGATGTAACTCGGAGCACCATTGATGCTTTGCATGCCTCACGGCTACCCAGGATAAATGCAATCACAACAGTCATAACACATCAATCAAACGAACTGTTGCTGCTGCTCCTCCTGCTGCTCCACTGCTGCTTGTGTCAATACTACGCGTACTGCGACGAAGGATCATCCAAACAAAAACAAGACAGTGATTCACCTGTAACTTTGGGCCAGGCACCGCTTCAGCCGACTTGCTCAGGCGCTGCAACCAGAGTGGAATATGAAAAGTCTCTCGAGACTTCAGAGACTTCAATCAACAACGATCTGACTCTTGCTCCCTCGTTCATGTTGTTAGGGTTTAGGCTATAGGGTTTAGGCTTGATGGTGCATGCGGCTCTCACACGACCGTGGCCATGAGATCGGAGGCTACAGTGGGCTTGGGCTGCACATTAATCGAGGGTCCCGGGTGATTTGTTCGACCGATGCATATGCAAGGATTTAGTACAGCTTGAACACTTGGGATGCACAGATTGCGCATGGTGTTTTGTGCATGCTTGCACAGTGGAGGCCCGCGGCCATACGTAGGATACCGGATAGAGTTACATGAGCCGGCAAACCCCCTCACGGCCACATCATCGTGAGCGTAAACGCATCACCTACGATCGTTCTAAGACGAGAGCGCAGCAGGGAAGGGAAACGATCAAAGCGCACCTTATTGGTTCGTCGTGAGACGCCGGTATCCAGGTGGGTCTGGGCTGTCGGGTTCTGGGCACAGCTCAACTGGTATGGCAGCGTCCCACATGTCAAGTACGGCACCATGCACCGCAAAACTCTAACTCCATCCACCCCAACAGAATCCAGCAGAATCGTTTGGCCCTTTGGCGCATGTCACTGTCAGCGCAATAAGCCACGCTAAACAAGAGGGACCGCAGGGTGTCTCAGAAGGCTTTGTACTCTCGGTTTAGTATAGGAATTTGTGTGCCCTGAAATTTAGGATCTGAAAGGCGACGGTGGTTTTTTGCTTGCCGAACTCAATGGTCAGAGTGCAGGGGTTGTGGGGACAGTAGCTTCAGCCAATGTTACTCTAGATTCCAACCTCCGAAGCCCATCGGTCTCTGAAGGGGTTGTGGGTCCATCCAAGCTTCAGGACGGTCTGAGGCCCAGAGTCCGCTGCTGCAGTGGGTCTTTGGTGTTTCTGGTTTCCGTAGGCTCCCAGAAGTTCTGGGAAGGGATTCGGACTCAATGCTCCCACTTGATGCCACGAAAGAGGTAACAAACCACTTGCATTTTCGCCATAGCCCCTCCTTCAAAAGGACCTGCTGACCCTTAAACTATGAACCCTTGATTCCCTTGATCATGCCGTTGCCGATGAGCCGGGTGCTTATATGGGTGCATCGGGAACAAGCGACCCGCAGCTAAACACGCAAGGCACCTACACCTTGAACCATGCACCCTCACCCGGAACCTCAAGTTCCAAACCTTATAATCCGTGAACCCGCAAGCAGCTGCATTCCCGGGCCCACATTGGATGTATGGACAGCGATTGGCTTCCGGCCGTGGCCCCTTTTGGGCCAAACCGTCATGTTCACTGAGGCCTAGGCAGAGCCCCAAATCAAGAGTTCGACACCAACCAACCAAGTCGAGGGAGAATCAAGGGAGAAACGCGTGACAGAGCCTGGAACTCTGTAGCCCTAAAATGCCCTCAATCTTCACCCTTCAATTATCTCAATGCTGAGGTCATCCACGTCCTGCTTGCCATGTTTCGGAAGGATCTCTGGAACTTGGCATGTCAAGATGGTAATTTTGAGAATACCGCTGATTTCAGGAATTTGCAGGTTTGGGGCCTCGCTCTACGGCTCAGGGGTCTCGCCCCCGGGGCCTGACATGAAGCAAGCTTTCCTCGTTTCGTGCAGGCTCGATCCCCAGCCGCGGTTTCGGGAAAGGCAGCCCCCAATGTAGAAGCTGAACGGCTCAACGCGCGAAATGCGCAACTCGTACATCCCAGCATCCCCAAACTTGCAGCTCCCTAAAACTGATTGTCGCATATTCTTGTATCTATATCTGTATCTTTTCAAGCCATGCAGCGGCTGGCTCCTTCGGTGAGCATGGGCTGATGGTCAGTAGTTTTGCCTGCTCAAAGCTCCCAAAAATATCATGAAGAAGGTCTCGCTACTAGCATCCCAGAAGGACACCCCAAAGCTACACTCACCAATAGTCAATAGTCCTCAAGGGGCCCTGTTCCCACTCACCAAGAAGCCGTAAAAGCTACTTCACTGTTTCTGTTCAATCTTCGACCAGAACACCGAACATTTTAAAGGTCTACCCTTGAAGGCAATGCTGCACAACCCTCTCCTCGGGTGGACTTGCAGAATAAACTTATGCCTGGAAAGCAGTCCCTGCAGCTGCATCGGAAGCTTGGATTCTCTTGTGAGCCTTGCCGTGTGGAATCGGAGTGTTTCTCGAGGCTGCTCAGTCTTGAGGGGTCCGGGCCAAGCCGAGGCCGAAGGATGCTGAGGATTCCACTGAGGCTTCCGATGCTTTCCGGCCGGGCCAGGCCGGGCGGTGAGATCTGTCCAGTCTGTTGAAGCTCGTGTCGGGAAAACCGACAACCCATGCGCAAACTTCCCTGAGCACAGAAAACAGGTTGCCTGCGTCGCTTCTGGGAGGACCAGCCTCACAGCAGTTCGAGGCTTCCAGGTTTCGGGCTCAGGATTCCAACGGTTTGTTGGGTTCGCGTGCAGCTTTAGGGGAGTCGGATTTGGGGTTCAGCGCTTTAGGAATACTGGCAGAGGCCGGATCGATCTTGTATCATGCTGGTTTAAACATATTGAATCGGATTCGGCCGATAGTAGCGGGAAGAATTCTGTTCGTAAGGTGGCCATTTTCACCAGATCTTTCCGAGGCAGTCGAACTAAAGAAAAGACCTAGCTGGAAGCCGACAGTGTTTCCGAGCAGCGCACATAGAACACAGGTAACATGCAAGTTCGTCCAGTCCGCAGGACAACTGAAGCTTCACACGATCCGACAAAATTAGCAAGTAGAAGGCATCTAGACTTTGATGATTCTACCTCGTCGACCTCAAGCCCCAACGCCGTGCACAACTCGCTCTGTTGAAGCTTAGATGATTCTGCCGATTGCCGGCTACAGCTTCCTATTGCACCTGCTGCCCGAAACCCTAACCCCAAGCTTGAACACTGTGTCACTGTTGTTGCAATTACCGCTATTGTCATGTTTACTGTCATTTGTAAGTACCATCATCTACATTATCATTATCATGATTAATCGTACTATTTTGCTTATAACATATAACTGTTCCATTTATTCTTATCGTGTCTCGATGGCCCCCGGCCATCGTCCCAGCTTTGGGAGCGGCCCCATCCTTCGCATGCGACAACACACACACACACACACACACACACACACGCACAGAGGTGTCACTGGCTTAGTATAGTGATGAAAAGGATCCCTACTCTGCTTCAGAATACATAGCATTTTAGCCTCTCTCGTGGTGGTTTGCTTTGGGTTCTTCGTTGTTGTGCTGTGGCCTGTGGCTTCGGCTTTAGTTGGACTGGGGATAAGCATCGGGCCTTAACAAGCCATAAACCAACAAATCGCCAAGTCCGTACAACGTGAAAACTGTCTTCTTGATGATAAAAAACTGCAGCATCCCAGAAGAACTGTCCTGTCGCAATAGATGCTCATGCTTTGCCGGGTCCAATGCAAATCGTGGCTGATGACAGAACCAAAGCTGCCGAGGTCTCGGCCGTTGCCCCAGCCGCTGCCACCCCAACCTGACCATGTAAACGGCAGCTGATTCCCCCTTTCGGCTTCGAGTGGCCAGTACGGTTTGCAAATGTGTACTGCGACTGTCGCTTGCGGCGAGGTCGGACTAGGTGAAAGCTTGATTTGAAGCCCAAGGTCTATACAAGTACTGTAGCAGAAAAAATCCGTCTTTTTGGTGGATATGTGAGCAATGTACGTGCGAGTGTATGCCAGCACAAAATAGTATACTGCTCGACAGCTTCAGCACAGCACTTTCACGACTTTCTGGAATCGCGGAATTTTTGGATCTTTGAATGTTGAGACTTCAATGCTCATCACCCGAGTCTCACGACACACTCTCCCGCATCCTATTCCCACAGCCGGATTTCACTCGGAGAGTATGCCAAAGCGAGCGTGGAGTAAGAGTCTGGGAAGTGCCCGTCTGTGAAAAGGCGTAGATTGCATAGATGTGCAGGGCCCTGGTCAGCGAGAGGGAGGCTTGTGGAATATTGACCTATCGAAAAAGCTTGTGGGGTGCTGTTCAGGGGTCTTTCGTCGTCCATGCCACGGGGTTACTTGGTGGATCTATCTTCAGAGTGCGCCTTGTGAGGCTAACTCATGTAGAGTTTCCTGCGGAAAGGTCCAGGGTTTTGCTCCTGGTGAACTTACATTTGATTTAGCCTTGGCTCTCTTATCTGATGTCCGTTCTGCTCTAGAGTCGTGTGTCATACTGGTATGTAACGAAGACGAGGTTTGGGCTGGAGAGTTGCGAGCCTTTGCTGTTGCCATTTCGCCAGCCGCCACCACCATTTCTTCCGCCTGCGGCTTTGTGGAATGGAATGCAGTCTACATGTTTCTTCCAGGTGTTGGGTCCAGGCATTGCGAAGCGAAGCTTGTCCGCTGCATGTAGAGTCTGAAGTGTCGGAAGGGTTTCAACTAGGACCTGAGAGTTCCAGGACTGCGAGGCGTTTTGGTACCGGGTGGAAGCCTTAGGCTTCCGGCTTGCAGATTGCAAGACGCTCGAGGAATAGTTCCCTGTGCAAGCTCTGCCTGACATGTCCCTTAGAAAGGTAGGATAGGCTGAAGACCCGAAGTCTGTTTCTTTGCTTCTCAACATCTTCAAAGGCCCAGTGGTCGATCCAGGTAGACCACCCATGCATCTCAAGTTCGAGCAAGACCATCGATCCGGCAGTCTCAGCAATCTCCAACAGGATGGCAGCAAGTCGACACCCCAAGAAAACCGTGAGCTCGGCGGAACAGCCCAAGCTTCCTTCTGAGGGCGCCGCCACCGTAGCCACCGCCATCGCCCGGCGGCGGAGCCCATCCAAAATCTAGGCCAAAGCAGGCATCTTGCAGGTGTTATAGGGTCTCCAATCAAGAGAATACTGTCAAGAAAGCACGTGCTTCGAGGGTTTACGAATTATTGCTCGCTATTTTCACCAGAGGCTTTACCAATCTTACAGTTGTGACTCAAGTTGTGACTCATAAACTCAAGCAGCCTACATCCAAAAAAACATGTAACGCACTGAGTTCAGGCCCCAACCAAGGAGCCGACATCCACATCCTCTGACTCGCAAAACTTCACTGAACTCGAACCTTTCATCAAACGTTCGAATCCCAGGGCTCGAGGGCCATAACGACCCTCAGGCTTTAGAGTCTCCCCGAAGGCTCTACAACCCATATCCGAAACCCCATCCCGAAGCCGTTGCCAGACGAGGCTCTGCCAGTGGCGGCGCCCTGGTAGTGACGCTTACGTACCCTTGCCCCATCTAGAAGTATCTACAGAGCTGAGGGCTTGATCTGTGGGTTTGCAGGCTTTGTGAGTATTGGGCTTTGGCTGGTGGAAGGGACTTCTGCCGGTTCCAGTTGTGCTGCAGGAGATAGGCTATGACTCTCTACGTATGCATCTAATTAGCGGGATTCGGGGAGAAAAGGGCGCTGTTGTCCAAAGTCCCCGGTTTAAGGATTTCAGGATTCAAGCTGTCACTTCGGAAAAAGCGGGCATATGGCTTTGAACTTTGAACTTTGAATGTTGAAGGTTCTGCTCTACCCTAGTGTCGAGGAACTGAGGTGGGCGAACATGAACTCACCCTGCTGCTCCTAGAATTGCAGCACCCTCTGCAAAGGCCGTGGATCGCTCCAACTGCGCGATGCCAGAGATACTAGATGGCCTCGCTATTGAAAGTTGTGGATGGATTCATTCCATTATACTCCGCACAACGTGCTGTAATCCAAATGGGGTAGGCTGGCACGGCTGTCCCTTCATCAGAACGTCCAGACTGACCTATGCCTATACTCTCCTTAGAAGCTATGGGCTGTTGTGTCTTTTTCCACTACTTGCTCGACTGACATCGGTCAAGTGTCCCACAGATGTTAGGATGCCCTGGGACCTTCTCAAAGGGTCTCCGGGGAAGGGCCCAACCAAATTCCATTCAAAACTCAACCTGAACGCGACTGAACGCGAGTGCCGAGCCCTCAGCCCCGAACACTCGGCCCTGGGCTCTAAGCCAAGAATCCGCCAGACCCTGGCGCTTAAATCCTGAGCCAATGCCTGGAGCAACCACGGCGCGAGGTCAAAGAAGGCCTTCGGACCTGCCGCGGACCTCAACTGACGAGCACTTCGGCATTGGGGGCGTCACTGGTGAATGATGATTGAACATTCAGGCAGACACGTGGAAGGATCTGTGGGTCTAGGGTGCAGGATACTACGTTGCCAGTACCAAAGCTTGTAATTGAAGAACATTGAACTGTGATGGCCGAACTCGTGACGAACCTCCTGATGACCAGGAACCGAACGGGAACATTGTGAGGAGTGCAGTTTTGGATCATAAGTGCTCACAGTACAGATTTGGAGGTAATCGTACTGTTGGCCTTGCTCCGTGGGATCCTTCATCGAACTTCACGACGGCACTTGTGTACAGGTCTCAGAACTCAGGTTTGGGCTCAAGTGACCTGAAAGGTTGAGAGCGCCAGGCATTAGAATTGTTGGGTTTGTTGGTACATTTCCTCTTGACATCTCTTGACGACAGAACGCCAAGGCTTACATAATCCTTCTCAAACCCGCATGACCAAGACCTACTCTGCCAACACAAATGCAAACCATGGGAACAACAATTTCAAGTCTAGCACGCTGAATGCACTGCTGATTGCCGCCGTCTGAAAACCCCTTGCAAGGACCTTATGTAAGCCAGTCTCAGTCTGCGGGCAGCAGCTGTGAGCAGCATACAAAAGCAGCACGACTTTGCAAATGTATGGAAGCTGTCGACAAGCTAAATGCATTCGAAAATCCACACCCTTCATGGAAAGAGATACCGACCTCTTCGCGAAACCATATCCATTCCTGAACCCTACGCTATCCACCTTGCAGATTCAAGGTCTGCTCTCTGGCCAGGTCCCGGGCCAGTCGTCGAAGCCCCAGCCGCCTGCAACAGGAAATCACGTAGGGGGGGCTTGGAGTTTGAGGATTGGGTTTAAGGGCTCAGTTGGGTCTTCCAAAGAGGTTTTCGGCAGGATTGCGGGTATCGGGTTTGCGAACAAGCCGGGGGTTGTCGGGCTCAAGGCTTAGAACCACGACGGTGGACTCCGTGGGCGATGAGCCTCTGAATACCCCGTACAGAAGTTCTGCTTCGATTCTGATGACAAACTTACACGGCACCTGAAAAAGATGGGGGGCGTGCACAAGGCCCTATAAATCTCTCGTGAGGGAGGCGGAACAGTTTTGAGGACAAATTGCATGTAACGATGTATGAACGTATACCCATAACTTCAAATCATGAACGTCCGAAGCCCAAAGAACAGATTCGATTGTGATAACTTTGACTCTTTCTCTCCATACCCTCCATCCCAGAAGACAAGAGATCCCCAAGCACAACTCCACGTGCCCATACCAGGCCTCGGTATCCGTTCCAACCCCTGGGTGTTGGGGGGTTTCCGTCCAGAATCTCAAGATTTGGGCTCAGGCTCTCTATGATTTGGAGTCCACCTCTTCAGGACCTCGGATTTGGGTGAAGTCTCTGGTTCGCAGGCAGGTTGGGCTCTCAAGACTGCTACCTGAGCATTCAGTGCGTATGTGTCCTGCAGAGCAGCTCAGGGACAGGTGCAAGCGACTTAAGTCCCTGTATTCTAATCGCTCTCAGGCTTGGAGCATGGAGGTGCCTCTTCCTCAAGCGATTGCTGAAAAGCGATCACCTTCGTTTGAAAACTCCTACACCAACCACAAGTCTTATGCTTCTCACGAGCCACAGCACCCAATCTAAAGCCCAACCATATAGGAATGTATGAAACACCTGAGACACAGACATGACACGAGAGTCCCAAGTTGTTTGTGTCAGGGCCTTCAGATCAGCTTACCAACATTCTACCATTTTTGGGTGTCTTCTTTGTTGGGGAAGTCAACATCAACAAGGGTCAGACTCGGGGGTTACCGAGCCGAGGGCTGTTGCTGCGGCTGCCAGCTTGGCGAGAAGTCTTCGGAGCCCTGCCGCCCTATTTCCTGCAGTGTGCTTTCGGGTGTTGGCGATGCTTTTGTGGAACTTCGAGCTGAACCTAGCCAGGATTCAGAGTTTAGACAGCAAGGTCCAAACCTAACTGTTGGGAAGTTAGCATCGCCCTCTCAACTAAGCAGTCTAGTGACTAGTGATGACTCAATCAAACATCAGTATTCATGGAATTGGGCTCGCGGGGGGTTTTGCATCTATGGCTTTGACTTGGGTGGCAAGGGATCCAAGAAAGAAGTGTATAACGAAAGATCCGATCCCCAAACGCAACAAAAGGAATTTGAGGTGCTAGCGTTCTGGGTAGGCTTGTTTCTTCAACCTGGACCCCAAATATCTTGATGGGCTATGTCTCGTCACAACAAACACGCTCAAAGCCGAGCTTCCGAAACTCAATACTCAGAAACCATAGACGTTGACGAACCTTGAACCTGAAATCTCAAAATCTGAAGCCCGAAGAACACGAAAATCATACATCCGGGCTCCCGCAGGCTCGGTTCCGATGGGCTCTGCTCCTGCAGATATTTTCAGGAGCCCTTACTACCGATGTAAGGCCCCTGCTCCCCAGCGCCGTACCTAGAAGGTCCTGAACCCTGAAGCAAAGATTGTATGGGGTGCTGGCTCGAAAAACTCAACTTTGTGGCAGACGGGCTGAAGGTTTATGACACAACCTTTGTGTGACAAGCATTCACCTGTGTTGTTGTGGAATCGCAACCAAGGACGGTGAACAAGGGATGCCAAGTAACTCTGGAAATTCGAAGGCTGTTGCTGTAGCTCGCTTCGGGCATTAATAATGAGGGTTCAGAAACTTTAAGCTGGAAGATTGTGGGGCTGGGTTGCCCAGATCTGCCGCGATCCCGAAGCCTAGGTGCCAAGACAGGCCAGGTTCCAACCTCACAATCAAAAATTGACGCCGTCGTAACCCCGAAGCACCCTCAAGCCAAAACCCCGCTGGCCTCCAAGAATGCCCAAGCGCCGGAGTCACTAAAGCTTCTTGGTTTCTATGGGTTTCGGGTGCAAGGGTGTAAAGGCTCAGTAGTGCCACACCCACACCCATGGCCATCCCTTTCCTAGCAGGCCTCATGTTATGAACCCCCGCTCTTAGATTTTTTCGGCCTTCAGACCTTGTCAGGAGTCAAACCGTCGTCCTGCAGGAAGATGAAGCGGCTAGCATCCGGGATCACTTCGCAGCAGTTGATGTGACCTGTCATGGCCCCCTTCACTTCCAAACTCCCGTAAACGCCCAAGCACGTCCAGTCGCTTTGGTGCCTGGCACCCTTGAGCGCATCATGCTTGAAGGTTGGTTGAGCCCGGGCTGCAGGATTCGGAAACATATGCATAAAGCTTATCATGTAAATTTGGAACAAACCACTGGCTGCAGTAGCGCGCCCTGCATCCCCGCATGCAAGCCACGCAACACCGAAGTGAGAATTGCCGAAATTTCGAAGTGTTCCAATAATGAAGGACTGAACAATAGCCAGTGTCATCATAACATCACACACACACAGAGAGTCGCACACCCTCACATTAGAATCAGACCTCGCTTTCCCGAGTGCGGTCATGTTACAGTAAAACCTTGTGAGAAGCAAATACGTTCAACAATTCGATGGTAGCAGCTGTAGGACAGTGGAACGAGACAAACAAGACGGGAAACGGCAACCTAGCAGTGGAAATCGGAAGTCGATGACACTCACCTTGATTCTATTGATCGGGAACGGCACACGTTAAAGATGTAATGCTGCACCAGTCACTCATCCTCACTGTCAGTATCTTCGTCGCAAGCAAAAGGAACGCCATCATTATCGTCTTAGCATTAACCACCACTGCCACCAGCATCAACACCATCGTTATCAGCATTACCAGCATCCGGGTCAGCGTTATCAACAGTCAGGCCCAAAGCACTTCATCTAGCTCGTCGTCATAATCACAAAGGCCTATGTCGCCATCCTCTTCATAATGCTAACAATACCGAGCGTTATCATCCTCGTCGTCGTTTCCAAGGGCTCACCAGATAGATGTTTAACGCGATGGAACATGCTAGGTAGTACAGTTGAGGTATGCTGTAGTATAGTATTAAGTATTAAACGGTAACATGTTTAGGCAATCCCTTTCCAGTCCTTGCTCAGGCCTTCTTCACCGCACTTCAGGCAGCGACAGAAGCTGACGTCGGCCTCATTATTCAGCCTCAGCTACACCACCACGGCAGGTCTCGGGTAGTTAGTGCCAAGGATCGCTACCCAGTAGAGTGAAATCATTGATTCTTGGGTTGGGGGTTGGGTTTAGGGGCTGGTGGAGCAAAGGATTGGGATTTTGAGGCGAGGCGGTTGGAGATCAGGCTGGCCTTCGTGGTTTAGCCTTCCTCACGCACAGCCGACCTTTCGAGCAGCTGCACATGCAAAACCCTCTTCGCAAAATTGTTCAGCCAGCGCCTGGCCCTTGGGCTTCTTGGGCTTCTAAGCGGGCGATTGATGCTTTGCACGTTTGAATAGCTGAGAGTGCCCTTGTAGCTTGCTCTTGCATGAACACCCCACCGGCAAATCGGAAGCGCCTCCGTAGCCCACAGGTCAAACATCCAATCCTGTTTAAGCTAAGTTACAGGCATGTGGAGGGCCGACTGCACGGCCCATGAGAGCTGTTGCAGGATGACTAATACGGATGATCTCCCGCACATTCGGCTGAGACTGTAATGCAGTCAGTTTGCCAAGCGTGCTCCAAGTCTTACACTGCTGAGTTTCCTGAGCCTGAAACCTTTGCAAAGACGTGTATTCACCCCGTGCTCTTCCAACCGGGGCCGGTGCCCATCGTCATAGACCTATCCAGGCGCATGAGGCTACAGAGTTTGGGACGTAAGCATGTCTCATCCTGTTACACGAAGGCTTGAACCCTAAACATTCTTCCATAACCATCGGAAGTCAAGCATGTATTCGGTAAGATTCGAAAGATTTTCTCGCACCGTGCCGAGCGTCAGAGTTCTGTCTGCAGCATTTCGAAGCTAGTCGGGATGTTGTGTAAGTTGAAAGATGTTGAAAGTATCAGCTGGTACATGCATACAGAGCCATGAGCTCCTGAACAACCTTGAGCCCGAAACTGTCCAAGCTCTGAGACCAGCTCGCTAGGCGTTCATAAACGTCGGAGTGTCTTCTGTGCAAGCCTGGGGTAAACACCCAGGCGTTGGTTGGTTGGAACTTGGAACATGACGGTTGAGGGTTCAGCCCAACTGCCCCGAGCCTCCTGGGGGCAGTACTCCGCCACATGGCCCTGGCGTCGACACCTGCCGAGTTCCGTTTTTAAAGGCCCGCGTTTAGACAACTTCCCTGCACCGAAGAAACTGTAAATTTGCTGTGGCTGTGCTGGTAGTAGTGGAATTTAATGTTTAGATTCTTTAGATCACTTCTCACCTGTCGGCCGGCTTCTGAACTCGGAGATGGCATTCCCAACTTCGAGCTTTAACTTTGATCCGCTGAGACTTGTTAGGGCTACAAGATTTGGAGTTCGCATTGGGGACTCACGCCCGTGGTGCCACGTGTGAAAGTTGGCAAGAGCGCATCTGAGCATATCATGCAAATCTCCAGTAACTACGAAACAAGCTAGCGGAAGCTTGCTTGTGCCTGAGGCCGGATTTTCAGAGCGTGCCGAACATGGACTCCTGCTTTGAGATTTGAAGTTTAGGATGTAGGACTTAGGGTTTAGGGTTTGAGCCAAGTATATCCTAAACCCAGAACCTCATAAACCCCAACTCCGTGCTCCCCTAAACTCTATAACTCCTACACCTTAAACCCGAATTCCTGAAAGTTTCCTGGTGTCGTTTGAGGAAAAGGGCATCACCCACTCCGTCCATGGTGACGCCAGAGTGGATTCAGCGGTCAAACACACCCAAATCCATCTGTTCCGCATTCCACCACTACGGTACCAAGGCCAAGCCATGGGATCTTTGCCAGGCGGATCATGTCACACGCCTTGCGCACCATATACGCCTTAACATCCGCAAAACATTTGACAAGTCATTTTCGCTGAGTTTCAGTGCTTCGGCAACCTCCCGTCTCCAAGGCCAAGTGGAAGGGCAATGGCAAGAAGAAGGAGAGAAGATCCATCTGCACGCGAACCTGCTTCATCTGGGGACAAGGCAAGAAACCACAAATCACAAAACTGGCCTCCTCTAATCTTGCTTCTTCCCGCATCGCAAAGGCAGCAAGAAGAAAGCGCCAGCAAGGTGACCGCGGCAACACAACTTGCGCAATGTTGCACACTAGGCCTGGCAGAGCTGCTCTTCCGTCACTGTTCACGACAGTATTTGGTCGGCCTGTAGTGACTTTTGCCATGGGGCAATGGTGGCACTATCGGGGCATTCGACCAATTCACCAAGAGTACAAATATTAATAAGGGGCGACCTTAATTGTGCCAGACTGTACAGGCCAGGCCATCTAAACCATGAACCCCGCGCCCTACACCCGAAACCAAGCCTCTAGGCCTAGGCCTAGGCCCTCGGCCCAACCTGGCCTGCTGCAACTCAGGTGCCGGATTTGGCACTCGGAGCTCTCGTGACCCTGCTCTGAGCAAACCTTGGAGGAGCAGGGGTTTGCATGACCTCTTACGGTTTCAGGGTTTCATGCTCCGAATTGAAAACCTGAAACCAAGAACCAAAGGCTATGGATGGTCAACTGGGGTCTCAGAATTTCCAACTGTCGGATTCGGTGCTCGAAACCGGCAGCCTTGCCTCGAGGATGCAAGGACTGGGATGGGGGTACATAATCCTGCTCGTTTAGTCCCATGTTTCTCCAAGTGCAGCTCGGAGGCATGATTCCTCTTCCGGCTTGTTGAAACTGTGTCCATGGACTGCGAAAACTTGTCTGAAGATTGTTTGGGTGCTAGGAGTGAGTGCTACTTCACTAGCGGAGATTTCAAGGATGTGAGACTCCGGTACTAGTACCCCACTTGGCTCTGAGCGTCCTGCAAAGCACCGTTTAAAGACACAGTCCTGGCTCTCGTGGTCTAGCCTTGGTGACACGTTTGGAAAACGCATCTGAAGGTCATCAGCTCGAACGAAAGGGCCACAAAAGAAACATAATACCACGACGTCAGGCCCAAGAACAAACAACACTCGTGCTCCGCTCTCGATCCTGAGCCCGACGTTCTGGAAAGCTTTGGCTCATGAACACTGATTAAACGATCTGACACCCCAGTCCACAAAGCAAAATGTCCGGAAGCCTAGCCCGAACTTAGAACCCAAATCCCACGCTCCTGAGACATAGAATCCTCAAGACTAACATGTACAAAGTCCGTTGGCTGACCTCGAACATTCCTCATGAGTCCAACAGGCACAAGGGCAAGTGGACCTACGGCATATTGACGATTGGCATTCGTCATTACAGATTCCTTGGTCCTTGCTCCTATTCTTTCTATCTTGTGAAGGACCTCGGAAGCTCTCGGGGGGGCGGGTGTCGTGTTCAGGAGTCCAATCCCACCTCAGTGATAAAAGGGCACCGAAGTCTCAGATATGGATAAGATCTTTCAGCTTCCGCTGGTAGGGTAGGCCTCCGTGCTTGCCGCAGACCCAGCACCCGACGATCACCTTGTCGGCCATGACGTCCTCTGCGACTAGCCGGATCCAAAAACCCTAACCTCCGGCCCTTGTAACGCGCAGTCTTCGGGAGATGACGCCAAAGGTTGGAACATGGCATAGCCAGACATAACGTGGCACAACGCAGAAAAGGCACGCATGCACTCGACAGGCACCCAGTCCACCTTGATGATTGGACCGCGTCCGAAAGCCCCAGAAGCTGAACATCCTAAACCCGAGCCAGGGAATCGTTCGATGTGATAGAAATCCACTAGTTCTGACCACAAAAATCCTGGAGCAAGATCCGCCTCAGAGCGTTCTTCAGCACCGAAGTATCGCTTCCCGGCGCCTGGACGTGGAGATTCGCTGTCCCTCTCCAAGCCCTGCGTTCCATGAACAATGGTCCCTTAAGCCCGACGTCCTGCAATCTTTGCAGAAGCACGGTTACAACTACTGGTAGAAGAAAACAGCAATAATCATCCATCGTCGTGATGATGCTGGTGGTGATGATGACGACTGTGGTTTTGAAAATAATGCTACTGCGATACGACTTCGAAGAACAATCATCAGGCCCTATGCTCCACACGCTAACCAAATCCGAACCCCAAAACTCTAGGCCGCCTTGCACGCCGGCTGATGTTGGAAGCTTAGGCCGCCTCCAAGCTGTTAACCCCGAGCCCTGCACACTCCCAGTCCCACCCCCACCTTTCTTGTGGCCCTTCCGCTTCTTGGAAACCAGAGCCTCGCCAGAAGGGGCCAAACTAGGAGGTGGCAGAACACGCTGTGCCCGGTTAAGCCCGATTAAATTAGGCAAAAGAAAAATTAACGAAACGAATGACAGGGAAAAAGACCCAATTTTTTATGCTTAAAACACGCATTCCTTTGTCACTTGTTTTTA